CAGAGTCCAGATTACGACCTGTAGGCATTTGATTGGTAAATAAACTTGTTAGAATAGCCCCCCTATCCTTAATTGACTCAAGGTGATAAAGTACTAACTTTGTTCTTTGCTATGTTACAATTTGACAAAGTTACCAGAGTGTCTATTCAGACAGTTTTATCAGATGAAATTCAGGCCAGATTGACCATTACAATGGTTAATTCTATGATCAAAGGCCATAATAACTGCCAGGTTTACCTCTAGGGTTAAAGTTCATTGCTTTATTACCCCCCCTTTTTTTCCTCCTTCGAATGATAAGAAAAGATACCTTTTTTACTTGGATAATTTTCTGTCACAACCAAAGAGTTCTTTTTTACTTTGAGATTTCAGAAGTGTGGAAGCATTTAGTTAATGGTCACTCCATAGTGTTGATGATTCATAAACTTGGGAAAATGTAGCCCGTGTTTTAAATGTTTCTCATGTAGTCATTTGTATGAAATTGGATTCAGGAAGATGAATGCCTTGAAGGGAGTAAAAGATAGTTTTCTAATCCCGTTTTGATTTCCAAATAATTGTATCTTTTTTAGAAGTTATTTTCCAATATATTTATATATGTGCTTTGTTATTAATGAGAATGAGAGAGAACACATATATTAAGGTCGTTAAAATTGTGAATTTTCTTATTTTCCAAATTTAAAAAAACCCACAAAATGAATTGATTTTTAATTTAGTTTTATTACATGGACTGTAGCTGTGAAGAAACCAAAAGCAAAGCAAACCAAAAGGAAAGGGAAAAAGGAGAAGACAAAAGGAAAGGTCGGATGATCTATCAATTATAATCAGCCTCTGCTTTTATAAGAGTATCTACTGCTTGGGTAAACTGGGAAGTTTCCAATGTTGGGTAACAGTGGCAGACTTAACATACGTAATTACCAGTCAGATAGTTCTGGCACAAAGGTCAGAATTCTGCCCAAAAGCCCTAGAGAACTCTTAGCCAGCTTAATCCAGGGGAAAAAGAAATGCACTATGAGGGGCACCTGGGTAACTTAGCTGGGTAAACATCAGACTCTTGATTTCAGCTCAGGTTGTGATGATCTCACAGTTTGTGAGTTTGAGTCCTGTGTTGGGCTCTGTGCTGTCAGCTTGGGATTCTCTTTCTCTCTCTCTCTCTCTCTCTCTCTCTCTCTCTCTCTCTCTCAAAATAAATAAACTTAAAAACAAAAAGAAAGAAAAGAAATGCCATGTGAGCTCTTCTAGGACTGACTCTGTTGCTTATCTTTTATTTCTTACCAACTTCATCAATAAAAGTGTACATTTTTTTCTGTTGTAAATGAATAAGAGTTAAATAAAATTTGATATTAATGGAATGCAAACAACAGAGTTGGCTGGAGAGATAAACTATACATAGGTAAAACAACTAGATGGTTCCAAGGTAATCATAAACAACTGAGTTACATGTACTGAACATGAGTACTAAAAAAATTCAGAGGTCTTTGATCCAGCAATGTCTGTCCTAGGACTATGATAGAACTAAAAGCACCAGTACATAGGGCATAAAAGTAGCAGGATATAAGTACAAAGATGGTTATTATTACAGCAAAAACTGAAAACAATGTAAATGCCCACCAGTATGGAAATGGACCAACAAGTTTTGATATATCAACCCCAAAAATATTTATGGAGACGTCAAGCAGAATGAACTGAAGCTATGCAAGATGACTTGGTGAGAGGAATTTCTATAAGATATCGCTGTGATAGAAAAAGCAAGATACAGAAGAATGTCTAGTATCCCATTTTTGTAAAATACTAGTGACCAAAAAACCCTAAATGCAAGTATATGAGTATTGAGAAAAATAGGAAAGGATATGTGCCACATTACCAACGTGGGTGAGGTATTGATGTGGGTAGAAGGGAAGGGGAGTGAAGAGTCAAACAGCAAAGGAAAAGGGGGAAAATATTTAACTATTGAGAGTTCAGTATGATGTGATTACACTTATACACAACTATAGGATGTATATATATAAGAAAATGAAACAGTTAGCTTAAATCAGAGGGACAAATCAATGTGATCTAGGCTAATCAGGAAAGCCTTTTGAATGAGAGGAGTCTAAAAACAAACATGCATTGAGCCCAAAATCTTGGGAGTGGAATTGCTATGGAGGGAGAAGAAATTTTGGAAAAGGGACACATCATAAGCAAGGTACTAGGGAAAGAATAGATTAGAGCTATGTAAGACAGAAGAAGGAATTAATTTCAGAATAATTGGAGAAATGATTTTAAAAAGTTGGCCAAATCACCAAAGACCATATATTGTGTGATTTCATCATATTAAATCTCTACAAGAGACAAATCCATAAAGACAGAAAATAGATTACTGGTTGCCAAGGGCTGTGGGTGCAGATTGGGAGGAGATGGGGAGTGACTACTAATGGGCAAGGGTTTCTTTTGGGAGTGATGAAATACTCTAAAACTGACTTTTGTTTTTTTTTTGTTTTTTTTTTTAATTTTTTAATGTTTATTTATTTTTGAGACAGAGGCAGAGCATGAACGGGGGAGGGTCAGAGAGAGAGGGAGACACAGAATCTGAAGCAGGCTCCAGGCTCTGAGCTGTCAGCACAGAGCCCGATGCGGGGCTCAAACTCACGGACCTGAGTGAGATTATGACCTGAGCCGAAGTTGGACGCTCAACCGACTGAGCCACCCAGGCGCCCCTCTAAAACTGATTTTTGTAATATTTGCACAATTGTGTGAATATACCAGAAACCACTGATTTGTATACTTTAAGTGGGTAGATTGTACGGTATGTAAATAATATCTCAATAAAGCTGCTTTTTTTAAGTTAAATAAATAAATATAAAGATATTTATGTTTATAAATAAATATAAAGATAAATTGGAATCCTCTGGTAGAAAGCATTAAAATCTACTTGAGTTTGAATTTGATGTAATGGACAATAAAGAGCCATTGTAGGTCATGAGTATGGAATGGACTGTCCATGATTTCTCTCTTTTATTCTCTTTTTCTCTTTATTTGGAATTTTTATTATAAAAGTATATACTCATTGAAACAAAACTCAAGTAATATTAAAAAGCATGTTAAAAAGAAAATTTTAGTCTTAACTCAATCCCCATAGATTACTACTATAAAAATTGAGATTCTTTACTAAATTTTTTCTCTCTTCTTTTTTTCTTTTTCTTTTATTTTATTTTTTTTTTTTAAATTTTTTTTTTCAACGTTTATTTATTTTTGGGACAGAGAGAGACAGAGCTTGAACGGGCGAGGGGCAGAGAGAGAGGGAGACACAGAATCGGAAACAGGCTCCAGGCTCTGAGCCATCAGCCCAGAGCCCGATGCGGGGCTCGAACTCACGGACCGTGAGATCGTGACCTGGTTGAAGTCGGACGCTTAACCGACTGCGCCACCCAGGCGCCCCCTTTTTATTCTTTTTTAACATAAATGAGATCATATTATCCATCTTGTTCTGTAATTTTTTCATACAGCAGTATTTCATGGCTATCTTTTCATACTTGCATATGAAGCCTCGATACTACAGGGAATAATAATAGTACTCCACATCATGGAATCAATGTAAAGATTAAACGAGTTGATAACTGTAAATAATTAGGATAGTACCAGACACATAAAAAGTATTCAGTAAGCATCAGGTGTTGTTTTACTATTATTAATGCTAAGTATAGGCTGAGGGATACAGCTTTGATGAGTGTTTTCATAGTTCTTTTACTTTGGAACCTAAAGCAAGAGCAGGCATGATTTCCATTTCAGAAGGGAAGCATTCACCCAGTCACCACTGGGCTAGAAGCCAGACAGTCTGCTGGGTGCTAATATTGAGAACTAACACATAACATTTCATAACACAGGTTCTTTTTTTTTTTTTTTTTTCAACGTTTTTTATTTATTTTTGGGACAGAGAGAGACAGAGCATGAACGGGGGAGGGGCAGAGAGAGAGGGAGACACAGAATGGGAAGCAGGCTCCAGGCTCTGAGCCATCAGCCCAGAGCCCGACGCGGGGCTCGAACTCACGGACCGCGAGATCGTGACCTGGCTGAAGTCGGACGCTTAACCGACTGCGCCACCCAGGCGCCCCTCATAACACAGGTTCTTAATACAAGTTTTGTGGGAGGGCTTAGGGGAATCAGATATTCTTGAAATTGTATGTCCAAAGTTTGTGTGTGCCTAGGTGCAGTAAACAGTGAATCCACAGCTTTTTAAAGATTCCCTAGGGAGTCTTCAATCCTTAAGAACCACATGTTTTATCAAGTTTACTTCTCCTGACAGCTCTAAGGAGTAGATAATATTATTAAAGTTTTTTAAAAATACAAAGATGACCCCAATTGGAAAATACAAAGATTTTCCCTCAGGGAGGGAACCCTTAAGGAGATTATATGTACCCAGCTCTACTATTAATACAAAAAGACCTATTAGAAGGGTATTATTATGCTTTGGAAATTCAGAAGGAGATTGGCCTTATTATGTTAAAAATTATACATCATTTAACAAATAATTTATCAAGTGCCCGCTATATTCCAGTTGTTATTCTAGGCTCCAGGAATATAACACTGAACAAACAGACAAAAATCTATGTCCTCATGGAGTTTACATTCTTTCAGGAAAGTCATACACGGATAATGTGATCCTTCTCCTCGCCTTTCATGTTGATACTTTAAGTCAACCTTATTATATATGCCTAGCAATGCCTTCCACATGATAATGTTTAGTAAATATTTGATCAAATGAGTAAAAGAATGAAAGAGCTACAAAAGATATTAAGGGGTCATGATCCTGGTTTTCACGCAGGACCACGTTTAACTATCATTTCCAAAATTTTTACAGTGGAATAGAAAATTTGGACCTGTGCCATCTCCTTCATTCCCCATGTGCTATGAATAGATTTGGCATAAATTGAAGAAATGAACTTGTGTGTTTCCATCTAATATTGTTACCTTAAAAGTACTTTGGCACTATATAAATGCAAAGCATCATTGTTATTTCTCATTTCTAGGAGAGGTGACGCCAGGACTATCTCAAGTGGAATATGCACTTCGCAGACACAAACTAATGTCTCTGATTCACAAGGAAACACAAGGGCAGAGTGGGACAGACCAGACGGTGGTTCTGCTGTCCAACCCTACATACTACATGAGCAATGATATCCCCTATACTTTCCACCAAGACAACAATTTCCTGTACCTGTGTGGATTCCAAGAGCCCGATAGCATTCTGGTCCTTCAGAGCCTCCCTGGCAAGCAGTTACCAGCACATAAGGCCATGCTTTTTGTACCTCGGAGAGACCCTAGTCGAGAACTTTGGGATGGCCCACGATCTGGCACTGATGGAGCAATAGCTTTAACAGGAGTGGATGAAGCCTATACACTAGAAGAATTTCAACATCTAGTACCAAAATTGAAAGGTAATAAATGGAACAGAGGTCAAATCACAGGCCAGATTTGGGATTAAGACCTTCCTTGCCTATTTAGACGAAGTTGTTAATTTTTTCTTTCTCTTTTTTAAAAATTTATTTATTTATTTTGAGAGAGTGAGTGCACAAGCACAGGAGGGACAGAGAGAGAGAGAGAGAGAGAGAGAGAATCCCAAACGGGCTCCGTGCTATCAGCACAGAGCCGGACACAAGGCTCAAGGTCTCAGGAACTGTGAGATCATGACCTGAGCTGAGATCAAGAGCCAAACACTTAACCGACTGAGCCACCCAGGCGTCCCTAAAGTTCTTAATTTTCTAAAATGATGATCATGGCAGCATTTCCTTGAGCACCATGAAAGGAACATAAATCTTTTCCACAAGACTACTTTAAATATTTCATTTACTCATTTGCTAAGTCTTTGTTAAATTATTCATTCATAGAGACTGTGAACTGTCCTAGTTTGAAATCGCAGAGAGAATTTTCTTTTAAAGTGGAGGATGGGCATGGATCACTCTTCAAGATTACCAACGAATCCATCCACCTTTGACCACTACATATTACTTCTGCCAACTCTTCAGAAAGAAGCAGTATTCTCAAAGAATGATCAGTGCTTCACCAGCATCACAATTACCTGGTGATACATACTGGAATTACAAAAGCATAGTAGATAGTGGAAATGTAAAATCTTAGCTCCCCCCTTCCATATCTGTTAGATCAGAATCTGCCTTTTAACAAGATTCTCAGGAGATTCATATAGTACAGAGTTGAGTCCATGCCACTCAAAATAGTCACTTTTTCTACATTTCTTCTGGTAAAATTATAATCACTCATAACATTTTGAGATTCTTTTTCTGGAACTTTTTAGAATCTACACTACATTATAAACTGTCTTTAATGATTCTTGTAAATCTACAGCCTGGGAAGCATTTTATTTTTTGAAGTGTCCAAAAGACACTTAGAGCCAAATTGGTAAATAACATAGATAATCAAATTGTAAAGTACTAATTTTAGACAAAATAATATATGACTGTAAAATTAAAGTCTAATTTTAGACAAAATAATATATGGTGTAAAATTAAAGTCTAATTTTCTAATGTCTAATTTTCTAAAGTCTAATTTATAATGGTTTATAAACCATTTCTGAAGTCAGTTTCTAAAAGAGAATTCCAAAATTGTTTCCAATGATCATGGAATTTATTGGACTTGTTTCATACAAAGCCTCCTTTGAAAGAAAATACTCAGTTGAATATGCAAGTTCCAGTATGCTTGAATTGTTTCATTGCTTTATACAAGTGTTCTCTATTTTACAGAGATAATTACTCAGCTAAACTAGTGGAACTTTTTCATATCTTCAAAGTTGTCATAAATGTGGGATACAGAATCATTTTCTTTTTAGCTTTTTGATTTTCTGAATTAGTTGCTAGCTGTCCTATTCAACAGTCTAAATTTCATTAACCCAGTATTGTTAAAACCTTACACCAAATGTATTTCTCAAAAGTACTTCTCATTCACCGTCCTTTTTGTTTTTTAATGTTTATTCATTTCTGAGAGAGAGAGAGAGAGAGAGAGAGAGAGAGAGAGAGAGAACAAGTGGGGGAGGGGCAAAGAGAGAGGAAGGCACAGAATCTGAAGCAGTTCTAGGCTCTGAGCTGTCAGCACAGAGCCTGATGTGGGGCTTGAACCCATGAACCTGACCAGCTCAGATCATGACCTGAGCTGAAGTCAGACGCTCAACCAACTGAGCCACCCAAGCGCCCCTCATTCACCATTCTTAATGTTAGTAGTTTACTAGACAAAAGCAGCAGGCAAAGGAAAAGATTCATGAAATCGTATTTATGTAAAAATTTAAAAACCAAAAAAACCTGGGCTATGATTTCATACACTGAAAACAGGTAGTAGAGGTTGTTTTACTTTTTAAAAACTACAATTAAATTTCTATTAAAAGTAAGATTAGCATTTGACATGTAATATATATTAAAAACCATTTTTATTTCAAAATGAAAATATTTAGGAGATTGTATCACTAATATATAGCCAATAAAAATTTTTAGGGTTTTTCCCTTTTCTGTCCCAAATACTCTGTGTAAAACATACATTCAGACTTCAGTTGTTGGAAATGCTGCTAATAAGCCATCTCAGGAAAATAGAAAGGGACGAATGGAGACCTGGTTTAAATGGGAACATTTTCATCATGAGCCTTCTCATCATGTATCTCAGGCACATACAGACTATTTCCTGGTCTCTAAAGTTAAAAGGAGAGCTGTGGTCTTCTAGTGAGAATACATGGCAGATGAGAAAGGAAAAGCCCTGGGTAAGTGTGGTCTAGCACATATCATCAACTATAGTGTTTCTATAGCCGTGAATATTTGCTCCTAAATGCAATAAGAACCTCATTCACTAACACAGAGATTGTGAAGAAGGGGAACACTTAAAAAAATTTTTTTCTTAATGTTTGTTCATTCTTTGAGAGAGATAGAGAGACAGCATGAGCAGGGGAGAGGCAGAGAGAGGGAGACACAGAATCCAAAGCAGTCTCCAGGCTCTGAGCCGCCAGCACAGAGCCTGATGCGGGGCCCAGACTCACAAACCGTGAGATCATGACCCGAGCCAAAGTCGGACCCTTAACCGACTGAGCCACCCAGGCGCCCTAGAAAGGGAACACTTAACCACGTCATGATCTGAGTACTTTTTTCTGTCCGTTCATGTTCAGTAATTCAGCAGGGCATCTAGCTCAATTGTAGTGTGGAGAACACTTTTATAGTTGTTCTTTAATGATTAGTAAATAATAAAATCAAAGCTTGAGAAGAGCTTTAGTCCCATCTATCATCTATATAAAGAACACTGAAGTTTAGGGGCAGAGAAGCTGGATATTCGGTGTCAGAATATCTTGCCATTCTCAGGGAATAGCCTTTCCAGTGATAGGTGATCTAACCTTTCAGTTGCTTCAGTCCTGAGAGAGTTTTTGCTCACTTCAGAATTCCACGCCACAGGTTTTATGGTTTTGACTCTTGTTCAAGTCATTATAGCAGTTGGTATTTCTTGTTGCTGTTAGTTTTATTTTAAAATTTATTTTCTTGCTGCTCATTTTAAGATGAGACAAATATGGTCTGGTATGACTGGATGAGGCCCTCTCACGCACAGCTTCACTCTGACTACATGCAGCATCTGACTGAGGTCAAAGCCAGGAGCAAGAATAAGGTCCGGGCTGTCCAGCAGCTGGTACAGCGCCTCCGGCTGATCAAATCTCCTGCAGAAATTGAGCGAATGCAGATTGCTGGGAAGCTGACATCACAGGTATGGTTCCTATTGAAAAAGTTTTCTCCAAATTAAAAAAATCTAACTTCCTAGGGTTCAGTGGGTACCTTGAGGTTGTGTACCCGAGGGAGGAATTTCATAGTAGGTGAACATCTACCTTCTGCTTTAGTTTAGTGAACATGTCTAGAAACTTGCTCAATACCTTGCAAGGCAAAATAAAGCTGCCTTGCATCTTTTATCCATGATCTTAGTTGTTTCTCTGTGGGACAACATAAATTAATTAGTGGTATTCCCTTTCCTTATGATAACTGCAATAACAGTGGCAGTTAAACACAGTTTGATTGCTAAAGAAGACTCAGGACCCAGAATGGCAGTACTTATAAGTCTGTAACTTATTATAGGAAAGGGGTATAGTATAGCAACAGCATTAAAGTAAGCATACCTGTCACAGTCAATGGCCATCCCACAAAAAGGATCCAGAGAAGCCAAGTGCAGGATCTTGTCCTATCTCAGCAAGGGCCAGGTGGGATGCATTTTCTCTCATGGATAAGGAACCACAGATGTGGTGGTGTGGTGATGTACACACACAGAATATCTTGGAACCAAGGAGCCCAAAATGGAATCTCACCTAGGGATTTTTGGGTTTTGCTCATATTGGCATATTCCTGCTATGTAACAGCAGAGCTCCTAGACCAGTACAAACCATTAATCTCACTGTTACCAGTATTGAGAAACCGATACAAACTGCCCCAAAATTCCTTGCAACACTTTTCATTAATTGTGGTGAAATATATACAGCATAAAATTTGCCAATTTAGCCATTTTTAAGTATATAGTTCAGTGGCATTAAATACATTCACATTGTTGTACAACCACCACCACTGTATATCTCCAGAACTATTTCATGATCCCCTGCTGAAACTCTATACTCATTAGACAATAACTGCCCATTTCTCCTTCCCTCTAACCCTTGGTGACTACCATTTTATTTCCTGTTTCTATAATTTGACTACTTTAGGTACCTCATATAAGTGAGTCATAACAATATTTGTTCTTTTGTTTTTGACTTATTTCACTTAGCAAAATGTCTCCAGGATTCAACCATGCTCTGGTATATATCAGAATTTACCTTCTTTTTAAGGCTGAGTAATAGACCATTTTATGTATATGCAACATTTTATTTATCTATTCATCTATTGATGGACAATTGGGTTGTTTTTTTTTCGTTAATTTTTTTAATTTTATTTTTTTAAATTTACATCCAAATTAGTTAGCGTATAGTGCAACAATGATTCCAAGAGTAGATTCCTTAATGCCTCTTACCCATTTAGCCCATCCCCCTCCCACAACCCCTCCAGTAACCCTCAGTTTGTTCTCCATATTTATGAGTCTCTTATGCTTTGTCCTCCTCCCTGTTTTTATATTATTTTTGTTTCCCTTCCCTTATGTTCATCTGTTTTGTCTCTTAAAGTCCTCATATGAGTGAAGTCATGATTTTTGTCTTTCTCTGACTGACTAATTTCACTTAGCATAATACCCTCCAGTTCCATCCACATAGTTGCAAATGGCAAGATTTCGTTCTTTTTGATTGCTGAGTAATACTCCATTGTGTGTGTGTGTCTGTGTGTGTGTGTGTGTGTGTGTGTGTGTGTGTATACCACATCTTCTTTATCCATTCATCCATCGATGGGCATTTGGGCTCTTTCCATACTTTGGCTATCGTTGATTGCTGCTCTAAACATGGGGGTGCATGTGTCCCTCCAAAACAGCATACCTCCCTTGGATAAATACCTAGTAGTGCAATTGCTGGGTCATAGGGTAGTTGTATTTTTAATTTTTTGAGGAACCTCCATACTGTTTTCCAGAGTGAATGCGCCAGCTTGCATTCCCACCAACAATGCAAAAGAGATCCTCTTTCTCCGCATCCTTGCCAACATCTCTTGTTGCCCAAGTTGTGAATGTTAGCCATTCTGACAGGTGTAAGGTGGTATCTCATTGTGGTTTTGATTTGTATTTCCCTGATGATGAATGATGTTGAGCATTTTTTCATGTGTCGGTTGGCCATCTGGTTGTCTTCTTTCCTTATAAGGAAAGACACTTCTCTGGAGAAGTGAATATTCATGTCTTTGCTCATTTCTTTACTGGATTATTTGTTTTTTGGGTGTTGAATTTGATAAGTTCTTTATAGATTTTGGTTTCTAACCCTTTATGTGATCTGTCATTTGCAAATATCTTCTCCCATTCTGTCGGTTGCCTTTTAGTTTTGCTGATTGTGTTGTTTCTGTCTTTAGGCTAGTGTGAATAATTCTGCAATGCACATTCTACTTTTCAAACCCCTGTTCTCATTTCTTTTGGATATATGCCCAGAAGTAGAATTACTAGATCAAATGGTAATTCTGTGTTCAATATTTTGAGGAACCACCATACTGTTTTTCATAGCACCTGTGCCGTTTTACATTCCCACTGACACTGGACAAGAGTTCCTATTTTTCCATATCCATTCAAACACTCGTTTTCTGTTTTTTGATGATAGACGTCCTTGTGGGTGTGAAAGGATATCTGACTGTGGTTTTGATTTGCATTTTTCTAATGGTTAGTGATGTTGAATGTCTTTTCATGTCTTTATTGCCTTCACAACACTTGTATGCTTCATCTATGCTTCATGCTATGCCTTGACCAAAGTCAATGTCATTCAGGAATTTAGCAAAACAGCTCAAGCTAATTCCAGGAAATAGCTCTCACAGAGCAGTCCATTCCCATGACCCACTATCAAGCCTTTTTTCTAATAAAACAATAATCCTTAGTGTGATATCATTTACTTGTCTTATAATATCCTATAGTCAGATAGATCATCAAAATGTACATGCAGAATCTAAATGTTTACAACATCCAGTGTGGGGTTAGTATGGATTTAAACAGATAGTGGAACCATCCATTTATACTTTTCCACGTTTTTCTAAGTATATAATTATTTTGTTGTTTGGATCTTTAAGTGTCTGGGTTGTTTTGTTTACATTTATTTTTGAGAGATGGAGCACAAGGAGGGGAGGGGCAGAGAGAAAGAGGGAGACACAGAATGGCTCTGAGCTATCAGCACAGAGCCCAACACGGGGCTTGAACCCATGAACCATGAGATCATGAACTGAGCTGAAGCCGTATGCTTAACTGGGTGAGTCACCCAGGCACCTCTGTAAGTGTCTGCTTCTTAATAAATCTGCTGAATTATTAATCTATCATTAATCAACTCTGAATATTTCTCAGACCAGTTCTTCTACATAGGGATAATGTACTGAGATAGCTTTAATTCAATCTCCCACTATATTTTATCATTAATATCAGTATTATGCTAAATTTGTTAGTATTTACAATATTAATTTTACTTATGCTTCCTTGTAATACCATATAGCAGCACCACTGTAGTTACAGTATAAATCAGAAAATCATGGTATAATTATTTTGTCCCTCCCAACACAATCTACCTTTTATTATAGCCATATATTATTTCTCATAGGACTATAGATCAGAGGCCATATCTCTGTTTTTTCAGGATTCAAAATATCTTGAGAACATAGCTAAATTCCTTCCCTCAGTTTAGGTGGTTTGACAGATATTGGTTCCCAGTTGGAAGAAACCAGCAACAGAACCTATTAATCTACTACAGGAACCACTCTAGTCCTGTTTAAAAGTTATCCAGTATTGGGGTGCCTGACTGGTTCCATCATTAGAACATGTGACTTGGTCTCGGGGTCATGAGTTCAAGCTTCATGTTGGTTGTAAAGATTACTAAAAAATTAAAAAAAAATTTTTAATAAAATAAAATTTGTTCAGTGCTCACAAACTGTGCTGTAGGGAAAGGATGGTTAGCATCCAGTCAAAGGGCTGAAGCTGTTAAAGAGCACCTGAATAGTTTGCATCCTCTAGTTAAAACTTACAGTAGAAAACAAAACTTTTTTTTTTTAATGTTTATTTATTTTTGAGACAGAGAGAGACAGACCATGAACAGGGGAGGGTCAGAGAGAGGGAGACACAGAATCTAACAGGCTCCAGGCTCTGAGCTGTCAACACAGAGCCCGAAGCGGAGCTCAAACTCACGGACCGCGAAATCATGACCTGAGCCGAAGTTGGCCGCTTAACCAACTAAGCCACCCAGGCGCCCCAGAAAACAAAACTTTCTTAAGACTGTAGGGCCCATAAGTGGCCCGTATTTGTGCATCACCTAGGTTTCTGCTGTGAGAATGCCTAGCCACTGTGCTTGGGATACCTTGGACTCCATTTGAATTAAGGTATCTAATAATCCAGCTTGTGTTTTAACACGCAGTCTTGTTCCCTTTGCTGAGTTGATTTGGGCGAGTTGTTTTAGTGTGTGATCTAATTATAAAATCCATTTTGTCAGCATCGTGTTATCTTTTCAAGTGGCTTGCCACTTTTGTCCTTACTCCTTAGACCTTAGTAGGTCTTTTTCAGCAGTATGTCTTTCCTCATTAAAAACAAATCTGCCTAACCAAATAACTCCTAGGCAGCTCCTGCTTCCATGAAGGCTCTCTTATTTCAAATGGTCTGACACCAGATATGTTGTCATGAGTACTGAGCGCTTTCGTACAGTGAGGAAATACATTTGATATCTTGAAAATGTTAATTCCCCCAGGCTTAGATCATATGAGTAGTAGTCACTCCTAAGTAGACTTTGGTTTGAGTGTTCCACAGAACTTCCCGTAACCAAACAAATTTCAGGAATGTGGACCCACCAAGTTATACCTAGTTCTTATCCTTTATCAGTGATCCATGTGTCCCAATTGTTCTTCCTCCTCATGCCTATTCACCTACAGTAACAGGGCAAATAGCTATTCTTACACATAATATTATTTTGACAGGTGGGATATGCAGTAGATAACATTCTACCACCATATTCTGGTACCTTTTTTAAACCATCATCACGATTAATGGCTATGTAATGTTCATTTAGATTATTAATATATTTCATATTCAACTAGCTAAATATTTTCTACATGTTGCTTTCCAACATAGCTCCTCTGTAGTAG